GTTTGCAGGCCAGCTCTCAATCCACTGAGCCACATCAGCCTGAGTTATTATTTTCATATAAATTTAAAAAAAACTTTAAAGTTTTAAAATCCAATTAAATGTATAATAGCAAAAAATTGGACAGAGTCTAACTACTCATCAGTTGGGAAAGGATAGAGGGTACTGTAATTCATACTATAGAATACTACACCATCATGAAAAGAATGAGTTAGATCCACAATGTGCTACTGTGGAAGAACTATCATAATATTATTGAAGTTAAAATTTAAAAAAGCAACTGTACACCTGAAACTAATATATTTTATGTCAACTGCAATTTAAAAATAAAAAATATTAAAAAATAAACAAACAACTGCCCTGGCTGGATAGCTCAGATGTTTAGAATGTCATTCCAATACACCAAGGTTGCAAGTTTGATCCCCAGTCAGGGAAAATACAAGAATCAACCAATGAATGCATCAATGAGTGGAACAACAAATCGACATTTCTCTCTCTCTCAAATCAATAAATTTAAAAAAATTTGAAAAAGCAACTGCAGTGAAATATGCTTGATATAATTCTATTTTTGTGGGTTAAGAATGTCTCACTTTACCATCCTCCCTCAAATGAAAAATTTTAAAATAGTTTTACTCTGATTATAAAACGAATGCGTTTGTTGTAAATTAGTCAAACAATACAGAAACCTACAGAGCTAAACATTTAAGCTCCCTTCCTTCATTCTAACTTCTCAGGAATAATCACCATAACAATTGACGTGTGTCCCTCCAAACTTTTTAATGTAAATATTGTATTTATAAATATCCATACAATACATAGGGTACGACTAGTGGTTAAAAATACAGGATGACTTGGACAATCAATGCTTAACCTGGACATCAGTTTTCTCAAATATAAAATGAGCATACGTAATAATTGCTATTTTAATTCTTTTTACATGTATGGAATTACTACATAGAATTTCTACAAATGTACTGTTTCAAAGTTTAATTTTTTAAAGTATTTATAGATTCACAGGAAGCAACAAGAATTGTACAGAAAGTTCTAGTGTGCCTTCATATATATACATGTATATGTGTGTGTGTGTGTGTATATATGTAACATCTACTCAAAACTATATATAAACTATATATAAACTATTTTCATTATCCCAGAAAATTTCCTTGATCACTTTCTGGACAAATGATCTCCCCAACAAGAGCAACCATTTCAAACACCAAAAATTAGTTTTGTCTGTTGCTGGACTTCATATAAATGGAATTGTACAGTTCATATCCTTTAGTGTCTTTCTTCTTTTGCTTAACATAGTTGTTTTGAGACTCCATGTCATTGACAGTATCAACAGTTCATCCTTTTTTTGTTGTAGAATTGCATTGTATGAATATATCATAATTTGTTAACCCATTCTTCTGTGGATGGACATTTGGACTGTCTCCACTTTGGGGCTGTGTATGAATAAGACTGTTATAAACATTTGTGTGCAAGTCATTTTGTGGACATGTTTTCAATTTTCTTAATTAAATAAGAGTAGAATTGCTGGGTAATATGGTAGATATATGTTTAATTTTATAAGAAATTACCAAACAGTTTTTCAAACTGCTACACTCTTATACTCTCACCTGGAATGTATGAGAGTTCCAATTGCTGAACTCCTTGCTATCACTTATTGTTGTTAGTGTCTTTTATTTTAGCCATTCCAGTAAGTGTATAATTTTAATTTGCATTTCCCTGGCGACTAACAAATTCCAAAGTATTTGAAAATAACCCTTGGTCAAAGAATAGATCACAGGGGGAATAAGACTATTTTAAACTGAATGAAAATAAAAACAAAACATAAAATTGTGGGATGTAGCAAAATCAGTCTGCTTCTAATGCTTTAGTAGAAAGTGCTTAAATTAGAAAAAAGGAAAAGTGTAAAATTGGTGATCTAAGCTCCTACTCTAAGAAGCTAAAAAAAGAACAAATTATATCCAAAATAAGGAGAGAAAATAATAAAAATAAGAGCAGAAATCAATAAAATAGAAAATAGAGAAAATACAAGGTCAAAATTTGGTTCCTTGGAGAATTAATAAAACTGATAAATCTCTAGCAAGATTTATCAAAGAAAAAATGGAGTAAACACAAATAACCAATATCAGACATACAAAAAGGGACATCATTGTGGATGCTACAGATGATAAAAGGGAAAATAAGAAAATATTATGAATAAGTTTATTCTAATAAATCAACAACTTAAGTGAAATGGACAAATTCCTTTAAAAACACAAATTATGACAATGGACACAGGAAGCAAAAAGAAAAATCTAAATGCCTCATATTTATTAAAGAAATTGAACTTAGATCATCTAACACTTTCCACAAAGAAAACTCCAGCCCTGACCTGTGTGACTTAGATGGTTGTGTGTCTTCCCTCAAAGCGAAAGGTTGCCGGTTGGATGGTATAGGTCAGGGCACATGCCTGAGTTGAAGGTTTGGTCCCAATAGGGGCATATTCGAGAGGCAACTGATTGCTGTTTCTCTCTCTCACATCAGTGCTCTCTCCCTCTTTTTCTCCCTCCCATTCCTTCTCTCTAAAAAGCACCCCCCCCCCAAAAAAAGTTAAAAAAACATTGAACACATTTGGTGTCAGGCAAAATTAAAAGAAAACTCCAGGGCCAGATGTCTTCATTGGTTAATCCTGTCACATATTTAAGGAAGAAAAAAATAATCATATACAAAGTCTTTCAGAGCACAGAGGAGGAAATACTTCCCAATTTATTATTTTTTTTAAAAAATCCTCACTTGAGGATATATTTATTGGTTTTAGAGAGGAAGGGAGAGAGGAACCTCGATGTGAGAAACATTGATTGGTTGCCTCCCTTACGCACCCCAACTGGGGAACAAACCTGCAGCCTAGGTATGTGCCCTCATTGGGAATCGAACCCACAACCTTTTGTTGTATGGGACGATGCTCCAACCAACTGGGCCACCCAGCTAGGACCTTCCCAATTTATTTTATGAGGTCAGGATATCCTTGACATAAAAATTTGATAAAGATATTACAGAAAATAAAATTATAAACAGATATCCTTCATGAACATAGATCCAAAAATCTGATCACTTTTTGCTGCAGCAATATCATTTCCGGAGTTTACCCTAAAGAAACACCCCTGAAGTTGTACAAAGATTAACTATGAGATATCCACTATAGTAATATTTTTAACAAGAAAAATTGGAAACTTAAATGTCCCCAAAGAGTGACCAGTTAATACGATATATATATAATAGAATATGTAGCTATTAAAATATGATAGAAATGTGCATTGAAAAAAAAACTCACTACATATTGTTTATTTTAAAAGTAGATTCTAGGGCCCTGGCTGGGTTGCTCAGTTGGTGAGAGTCCTCCCAACATCCTAAGGTTGGGCGTTCAAGAACATACAAGAATCAACCAATAAATGCATAAATAAGTGCCGCAACAAATTGATGTTTTTCTTGTTCTCTCAAATCAATTACAAAAACAAAACAGAACACCTCAGCATCAAGCCACCATAGCTTTAGGGGGAAAAAAAGAAGTGGATTCCAAAGATTACAGGTGATCTCACCCTTCTGTCAAAGTAAGAAAACTGTAATAAATCATTCCATTTATTCATTACATGTTAGGAAAAAAAGACTGGAAGAACATAAGCCAAATGTCAAAAATTATCATTGGATGATAAGAGACTATGGTTGACTTTTATTTCCTTCCTTTTGCTTATCTGAATTTTTTGCACAAATATATGTTTTTCTAACATAATTGTAGAAGGAAAAAATTTTAAATATGACCTATGGGCATTTTTGTACTTCTCCCCTCACATTTATTAGGAAGAGAAGATTTGAGACTGTGGAATGTTCTTTTTACATCTAACCTTGAACACACCCACCCTGGAGGACTGGATAGTTTTTCCCTCCTTTGACTCACCAAGTCCATAGTGGCCCTGCCTTTGGCCTAACCTCTACTTACGTGAAGCAGCATAAATTTTGTAACTGCCTTACTGTGTGACTTTCGGCAAGATCCTTGTCTTAGGGGCGCCAGTTTCTCCTCTTTAAATACAGAAGTTAGAATCAATGATTTTCAAGTTCCCTTCCAGATAGGAAAAAACACAGAAAACCTGGGGGTGCACTTGAGAATGTGGGCATCACATTTTAGTGCAGAGCTTGACACAGAATAATTGATAGGTAAATTAGCTTTTTGCCTTCACCTCCTAAAAGACAATTCAAGAATAGGTGTTCCAGACTTGCTGCTGCTGCTGAGCTGAACCACAAAGGTGGTTTTAACTACTAGAGCACACACTGGGCAAGCACCTCCGCCCCCCGCCCCGCCCCAGGTAATTGATACAGTGCTGCTTCTTAAAGATTCACATAGCAAAGTGAGGTCTGGAAACGCCTACGACTGCTATGACTGAGAAACATTCAAGCTGTCATCCAGTTGAGGCTTGGATTGGAAAAGCGGTCTCTGGGCTGCCCGCGTTATGCCAGAGAACACATTCCCTGAAGGTGCCCAGGCTGTTACCACGCGGCTTATGGAAAGAGATGTGGCAAGTCCCTGCTTTGCCAATGTGGAGCTGTGTGACCTTGGACAAGTCCCTTCTTCCTTCAAGAACGTTGCGGTGGGCCTAAGTGCCTCCTCCCGGGTCGGTGACGGTCAACTGACCTGGAAAACATTCCCCTTTAAACGTTTTTGACCTCCAATGACACTCGCGTGGGGGACCAAGAGTAAAGGACTCAAGGGTCGCGGCGCGAGAGTATCCGCGAGCCGCGCCACGACTCTCGCGAGATGTCCTCTCTAAGCTTCGCGGCGTTATCCTCTCCGCGGCCTAGGCGGCGACGGCGTGTAAGATAGCGCTGGGAAGGCTCGTATCCTTCCGCCGCCGACGCTGCCCAGCCCTCCTTCCCCTGGTCCACCAATCCCCTCGCCTCCCGACCTGCCCCTCGGCCTGGGCCCACCCCGCGCTCGGCGGCCCCACCCCGGCGGCGCCGCCCGCGCGTCCCTCGGTCCACCTGCAGCCGGCAGTCCGTCCCTCCAGCTGTCCGACCGAGAGGCGCGGGCCCAGCCTGAGGCCTGGGCTCTTGCTTCCCGGCGGAGGGATTCGCGACGGCTGAGGAGGCGGTGCTGAGCTAAAGAGGAAGAGGCCCCTACCGCGGCGGCGGCGGCGGCGGCGGCTGCGGCTGCTCGGAAGGCAGCGCATAAAGGGGCCGCCGCCGGGTGATGCGGTGACCGCTGCGGCAGGCGCAGGAGCCCAGTGGGCCTCGGCCCTCAATACGTCCCGCTGGACGCGCGCATTCCGAGTTCTCCATCTTCTCCGGTAGACCCGCGATCACCGAGGCGGCCTCGCGCCCCCTCGCCCCTTCCCCGTCCCTCCCCTGTCCCCGTTCCCGCCCCGGGGGCTGCCGCCACCCGCCTTCCACGATGGCTCTAAAGAGAATCCACAAGGTAAGCGGCCGGAGGTCGGCTGTGGGTTTGGGCCGCTGGGCGGGCCAGCTGAGCAGGCTGCGGCCTGTGCTTTCCGCCGTCGCCTCCGCTGGGCTTGCGGCCTCTTCGTACCCAGCTGCGGGCGATGTCCTCGCTGGGCGGCCTTCACACCCCACTCCCAGTGATGGCGCCGGTGGAGGCCCCGACGCGCAGCCCGCGCCTAGGCCCGAGGTGCACTTGTCCGCTCAGCGTTCCTCCCCGGCCTCCTTCCTAGTTCCTGCCTCGTATGGAGTCCCAGGGCCTCTCTCCGGCCTGGGACTGCTGCGCTAGTGGGCCATTGTCCCGGCCTGCCGGGAGTGGGGGCTGGGACCGGGGCATTGGGCGGCCACTTCGACAGAGGTCGAAAGGGCTCGCCCCATCTCTTCACCTTCTCCACCCCCACTCCCCTTCCCTGCTCCTTCCACAGAACCGCCTGAGCCACCCTTATCTCAGACAGACGGAGGACGCCTTTTTGTCCGATCCACAAGTATTTCCTGAGTTCTCTCACCTCTTGACGGCCGCACACCTCGGCCCGCTCTACTTGTCCAGAAACTGTTAAGAGTAGGAAGTTCAGAAGGAAAAAAACATATGCATCTTTTGAGGGAGGAGGGAAGTAGAGGGAGAAGCAATTTATTCCTTGAGATTGCCAAATGTAGTCAGAAACTAACACTTCATTTTTACAGGAATGAACCTAATAGAAAAGCTGTGAAATCGGCAAGGATAGAAGCAGAAACCTGACCATTGTAAACCACTGGAGAAATTGCACAATTTCCTTTTACAGGTTAAATTAGGTGATATGTTCAGGGAGATCCTTTTAATTTAGAAGGGATTTTGTTAGATTTTCCCATTGGAAAGGACTTTTTTGCCCTTTAAGATAAAGGGTTATTCGTTTAGTTATTTATACGGAGGTTTTCCTAATACCACTTCTAGAATACAGGCTTGTCTTAAAATTTAGGGTCCCTACCCCCCAATACTGTAACTTTCTGGTGCCTTTTGCTCTAATTTTTTAAAAGTAGGGAAGTGCCACTGGTGATTTTTGTTTGGTGTTTCACTCGGTTGTGTTAAACCTAGCCACTTAGAAGTAGGCGCTGGGATTATCTGTGTGTCCTGAAGGCTGGGATGGAGATGCAAGGGGAAGAGAACCAGTTTTCACCTTGCCTTGAACTAAGTGAAAATGCAGATTGTTGGACAGTTTAAACACAAACTAAGCAGTTGGTTCTCATTTCATTCTTGTTCAAAGACCTTTAATGTGAAATTAATCCCAGTGGTTACTGTAAATTAGGTTAGATCCTTACCAAATTCTTTTGACTCCTTTGATTTATAACAAATGAAAAAGGGCAGACTTTAGAAAGAGTAAATCTTATACTGAAATGAAGCAGCTTATTTGTTAAAAGAAGCTTGAACTTTAGGCAAAGATCTCTTAGAGAACCATTCAGGGGACAAGAGTACACTGAGGAATGATAATCCAAATAAAATTATATATGTATTTTTAAAGCTTTTAGGAGTTTCTACGTTCTTATAGAGAGGCTAATTGGGAAGTTGGGAGATTGTACCTGCAGAAAATTGTGCTCTTGTTTTATATCCTGAAGAGAAATATGTGTAATGTGTGATAATTTAGTCAAGAAATACAGTCTTTAATTACTACATTGATTGATACATGTGTTATTTTTTTCAGAGAAGAGAATAGCACCCAAAACATGCATTTTATTTTTTAAATATACTTGTCCCCAGTAATATGGTTCTTTTGAGTTACTATATATTCTCTGGATTTTTCTCTAAAATATGCCCTTATAAAAATTTTAATAAGGGAAATCAAGTTTAGACAATGATAATTTGAAATTTTGAAACTCAGTATTAACCTTCTCCCCACCTCCCTGGTTCATTATCTGGAGCCCTCCTTCAGTATGGCTCAACTTCTGAGACTTTCCGGGATTAGAAAAATAACATTTATTTTTGCTACACTTGTCAATAAGATTGTGAGAACAAAGTGGAGGTTTTTTTTTTTTTATCCCCAAGCTTTGTATATGATACCAATTTTACGTAGGTTTACCTAGGTATGGATGAGATCAATCTTCTCTTATCTTCAACCCCGTTAAGGTACCCACAGTGGAATCCCGGAAAGACGTAGGTGGCTTATATAATTGATCTTGGTCTTGAGCCTTCCCAATTACCATTCTCTGAAAAAATAGTTCTGCTTAGATACTCTCAACTATCATGAAGTGCTGCAACTGGGTTTTAATAAAATTTTGCTAAGAACAAGTACGTTTGAGGTGTGTCATCTTTAGGAATTCAATATCTTGTTTCTTTGACAGAGGGAAATAGTGTTCCGTGAATTTGACGGTGCCATGTCTTTTTTTGGAAAATCTTTTGATAGACTTCATTTTTATATACACTTGACGGTCTCCTGACCTATGTTTTAACAGTGTATCAAGGGTCGTTATGAGTATCCAGTGTAGTTCTGTACAGGGATTGGGACCCTTTGGGATTGTTTGTAAGTATACTAAATGGCCCCACCCTGCTATATTTTGAGGTTTTCTGCTGACTTTATAGGTCTTGAGCTTTGATTTTGATGCTTTGAGTGTTTGCCTCTAGCAGCACCACCCCCAGCCTTTTTCCAGTTGGCTGCATCTCATCTGTTGTGGGCTGGGAAACCAGATCACCGAGCTTATTAAAATTATGTCTAAAATAAGATCCAGTAGGCTCTGAGTGAAGAGGGAAAGCTTCATGTTTTCTGTGAACTGTGTGGTCTCTTTGGCTGATCAGAGACCTTTTAAACTCACTTCCTGTTTTTCTTCTCTACTTTTGTTAGATGCAGGAGGCTTTTTGGTGCTCTTACAGTATCATAATATTGAAATACAGGGTTAATTTCTTTATTCTTAGGAACACTAAAAGGCTAGACATCTTGATTCTTTGAGGAGTTGAAGACAGACTGGTTAGGATACCAGAAAGTCTTTTCTTAATAGTAATAGCGCCATATACATTTTAATGGTATCCTGCTAGTTGTAGTTAACATTTGTTACACACAACTTTAATGCCAGGATCATCACTTTGTATTTAAGTGACTTAAGTCTATTTCTATGATAAAATTTGTTTAAAAAATTCTAATTACTGTTGACATACAATATTTTTGTTAGTGTCAGGTGTACAGCATAGTGACTAGACATTTAAGTACCTTACAGTAATAGCCCTATTAAGTCTAATACGTATACGATACCAAACAGTTCTTATAGTATTTCTGTCTGTATTCCCTGTGCTGTACGTCACATCTTCGTGACTATTTTTATAACTGACAATTTGTATTTCTTAATTCCTTTAACCTTTTTTTCACCCGTTCTTCCCAGTGCCCCTCCCAGCGACCATCAGTTTATTCTCAACTATGATAAAGACTTTATGGCTAGCATCTTTAAAGGCCCATTAAGAGACAATAACCAACAAAATAAATAAATAAATTTCTCAGTAAAATAGAGATTTCAAACTCTGTTGACTGTAAAGGCCAGTCACTTAACCAAAGTGAGCTAAGAGAAGGGGGCGGGCGGGCCATGGCGGGAGAGTTAGAAATTGCTTGTGCTATCAGAAGAGGGCAGCTGCTACCCAGCTTTCTCCAAATGTTGCTATTGCCAGAATCTGTGGGCTCACTGTTGCCAGATCTTTCTTTCTTTCTTAGCCACAAGTCCAGATTTTTGGCACCCAATTCAAATTTTAAAACGACCACCATGCAGTTTTGGTAGGCGCCAGTTTAATAATTAGAAATAACAAAAGATTCAGGTTCAGTAAGTAGTCAGGAGTATAAGGATTAAATCACTTAAACTATATTTACTATCTTTTTAAAAGTTTCAAAGTATTGCTTTATATAGATGGGCAAGATTAGGTAGTTTACGTAAACTTCTAATTCTTTGCTCAGGTTCTGTATGGTTATGTGTATGGTTATAGAGAAAGCAGATTTAATAGATGCCTTGATCCCATTGTAGAAATTTACATCTTAATCTTGATTTAATATGTGTTCATGTTATAAATGATCTTTCTGTAGACTACATATTTTCAAAATGTCTAAGATTGGGAAATTACCAACGCATGATGGGAAAGGAGTTGAAACACTGTAACAAATTTACTAAATTTAAAAATTATTTTAAAATACTGTACTAGAAGTGGGGTACCATATATTACTTTAATATAATCAGAGGTAAGGATTGAGTGAATTCCAGTCAAAATGATCAAACACATTTGGAAATAGTCCTGTGGAATACTGAGAACTTTAATACAATGAATGGTTGGCTGAAGATGGCTGTTTGAATTAGTTCTGTCTTGGAAAGCAAATACAAGTTCTTACTCTAAAAGATAAGCTTGTTGAAAACTCCAGGACGTTTTTTTTCTTTTGTTTTATTTTGTTTTGTTTTTAAGAAAAGGATGCTTTGCTTTACAAAAGATTCATTGAATTGAGGAACTTTTCTTTGCCTCTTCAAGTTTGCTATTTAAATGTAATTTAAACAGCCATCATTGAATAATAACTATTAGTAAATCCAAGTTTTCTTTAAAGTCTTCTTGTGAGAATTACTGTACTGTTGACTGACAGAGGAAATGTTGACAAAGTCCAATTCTGGATATTTTAGTCCAGAGAGAGAGTGCTGCTAAAATATCCTAGGCAATTTCCAGGATAGGAATACCTGACTCATGCCTCATGCTGCCAGGAACCTCTGCAGCCTCATCCCAGAAATGCAGCAGCACACCTGTTTTTTCTGTAGAAATACAGCTTTCCTGTTTGGTTCCTAGGCTAACCTTCAAAATCATAATAAACAATGACATAGAAAAAGAAAGTGTCGTTTGTTTTTTTTTGTCCATGGATTTGATTGAAATTCCAAATACTAGAAATATAAAAATTTTAGCACTGCAACATATCTCGGAAGCTACTTTCTGAAAAGGCCGTGTGACTTACTAGGGCTGGATCAGAAACCAGGATTTCTTGACTGTGTCCAGTGTCTTTCTGG